CTTTCATTTTGTGACTTGATTCCATTATGTTTCTCGCGAAACAAACAGGGAAAACAGAATCGCAAAGGAACTTACAGGGGTGAAAAAAGGAGACTGGTGAGGGAGAGGAGGAGGAGGAGATTTGGAGGAAGAAGGAGAACAAGAAGAAGAGGAAGGAGCCATGCTTTTTTGGTTATCTCCTATTTTGGTCTCTTTTATTTGGTTTTTACTGACATGAGACACACAATCCAAATATGTAGGATTTTTCTTTTTCTTTTTTCTTTTTTTTTTCTTCACTCTGTTTCATCGTTTTCTTTCATTTTCTAAGCGGTTTGATATTTCGTCGTGTTGTAATCATGGTTGTGAATCAGAGGTTTGCAGAATGAAAAACATTTTCGGTCAATGAAAACCTTTTTTTTTTTTTTCCTTCTACAACGTGTGAAGGGGATATTACCATGCGCGGTCAAATACTCAAAGGAATGGACAGTGCATTGTTTTAGAGTTAGACATTAGTGCATGAATATCCCCAGCTTTACACAACTCTTCTCTTGGCCCTTGAGCCACGTCAGAGACCACGATTGGAAAATAATAAAGACTCGGAAAAAGCAAACCTTACAAAGCTAGACAAAGGCATCCCTATCCCCTCTGTAGGATTCTAAAGTTAGTTTAATCCACCTTCCATTAAATATCATAGTAAAATTGCAAATTCTGCAATAATTAAGGTATACAGTGGTTGAATATAAACCTTAACCAACATAGCCATCGTTTTTTATGATGTGAGGATTCTCCCCGAGTTAGATATGCTATCACTTTCAATCTGATTAAATATTTATTTTGGGTTTAGGAAAGGCTTCAGTGAGATAAGAGAGACCATGAATTAAAAGATAATGATCAAAAAAAATGAAGGGGAATGACATGGATGTGCATGCCCAGAGTCCAATCTCATGACCAATAGTTGATAATCTTGTTGCATTCATTTATGGCGCTGTTAGCTAAGATCACCACGCACCAAATGATGAAAGATATTTATTATGACCGGTTTAAATTTAGGTTCCAAGTACAGATTTAAGTTAAACGATTCTAATGGAATATACTCAACTAATTCAATATCGCTTAATGAAAAGAATCAAACGATGACGGCCAAGAAAGAATGGAGAAAATTTGACTTCAATGTGATAAATGCATTGAATTTTAATATGAGAGCTATAATTTTGTAGGCCGGATATATATCTAATATATATAATTTATTGATTTATTACCGATTATGCTTAATTATTACATCTATTTGATTATTATCATGATAAAATAATTGAAATCAAATGAATTCTTTAAAATTTAAAAGGTAATAATTAATAATTAAGATTTGAGCTGGCGACTATTGCCCTTGGTTAAGAGAATGAGGTTAGAAATTCCAATTCCCTCTCTCTCTCTCTTTTTGGGTGCCGAAAGAATGGACACATGGGTAAGAATCGAAGTCCCCCTACCTTGTCTATTTTTCCTTTTTATATTCCTTTATTAGTATACTCTTTTAAAAAAGGATAAAACTTCTACACGGTGTAGGTAAATTTTAGTTTTCATCACAGTGTTAAATGCTACAACCCTGTATCCCTATTATTTTAAAATTGGCAAATTCTTTAATTTTTCCTTAATGAGGCTACTGGGGTTTTTTCCTCCAATAAACCGAGTCGTCTAAATGATAATGGCAATAGCCGCAATGTCAAAGATTAATTGCCCATGATGGCCACAGTTCGTCTTGCCCCTTTGAAAAGGCAAATTGGCCAAACTTTTACTTGCAATGATGCAGCAAGTGAAAATAATGGCGCACCAATCCTTTCACACTCAAAATCAAACCCACTTTATTCTTGTCTAAATTAAACCAATTTCACTTTGGTATTTTTTTATTAATGGTTTTGTCCTTATTATTGAGGCCTGATTACCAGGACATGCAGAAAGATAATTCATTAATTAAATTTCTCTCATTGTAGAGGATTGTGGAGAGACTTGTGTTACCTTTTTATTTTTGAAAGTAGAATGATAAAAAATTAAGGTTTTTTTTTTTTTAACGTCTAAAGGGGATCAGATATTTTAACATGCAGCAACAATGTGCAGTCATTGTTATTTACAGATAGTAAAGACGTTTGGCGAATAAGTTACTAGTCAGTATAGCAATAGTGTTTTGTGAACTCAACAAAAGCAATATTTGTCCTTATTTACTAGCAAAGATTTAAGTTAGTACAACTATTTTAAGAAACGAAAATAGGAAGGGAAGAGAAGAAAGGATAGAACAATTCTAAAATCCAAGTCATGAGTCATGGTCCCAAGAGGCCCATGCCATCCGTGGTCATGGTCATTATTAGACATGCAGGCAACGAAAGCATGCACCACGATTTGCCCTCTCGAACACGCAGGGCAACAGGTCAATGGGCAAAAGCCAATTTCAGTTTTAGGGGCTTTTCTTGGAGAGCAGTGCAGTGTGGCGTCTTCCTAAAATTTCCATATTCAATAGTTATATTGGTTATTTACTGTACTTAACCTTCAAACAGAATTGTTTGGTCCATTCCCAATTTCTTCACGAGACCTTAAAATAGAGGCATTCCAATTTAGGTCGAAACAGTTCTTGTAGAAATAGAAAGACAATCGATGGCTGTATTTATATAACAAGAGTTGGCAACAGGTGGTTAAACTGAACTCAAGTAGTTGGAGTGGGTGCAGATTGGGATAAGATACTTGCTACCAGATTTTAATTAATTAAAGTTCTTCACTTTTGAGTTTTTCTACCTCAACAAAATAGAAATGGATCTTTGGCTCTAGGAAGTACTCTTGGGGATAAAAATGAAATTTATTGTGCATTAAATGTTAAAACTGTCTTCAAGGGGGTTCATTTACATTCAAGATATCAAAGGAGGGTGAATTTGAATGCAAATGATTCAATGAGAATGCTGGTGTGTTTGATTCTTGGATACACTAATTAATAGTGCTGAAATCAAAATTTCATATTTGAGACGAAAATAAAAAATTTAATATTTACAGAGATAAATTTGTAAAATTTTTTAAAGAATAAAAATAAAATTAAAAAATTTGAGGGCAAGGGCCTCTGCTAGCCCCCTCCCTTAACCTCTGCCAGTCAGTACTTCAGCATTCATGTTTTGGTACTTTTGCCCAGTTTGCCAGGCACCAACTAATTAATTGGTTGATTCTTCTATTTTCCTTTTTTAAAAAAATTGTAAATTTGTTTTAAATTATGTATACATATATATATATATATATATATTATACAAGTGTGTCTCTTTAAGCATTGATTTGATGAAAATGCTACCTTTAAGTTTTTGTTTCTCGTGCCATTCAATCGCCTTGATCATCATTTTGGAAACTCATCTGTGAGGGAAACCAAAGAAAGAATATCATGATCAATTCACCATTATTCTGGAGATCTTGAACAAGACTACAGACTGTTCATCGAGTGCCAACTTCATGCGGAAAGCATCTTTCAAAATTCCTTACGTTAACCGCAGTCTGCCTTGTCTTCTGGGAAAGAAACACTGAAAAAGAAAATACACTTGGGAATAGTTGAAGGTAAAGGGAAACTTCCGGATGGGACCGACATCGCAAAAATTATGTAGGCAAATAGGAAGAGAAATACGTAATCTTTTCAAATTTATCGAAAAAAAGTATAATAACAGTCGATTCCGGTGCATCGACCTCAAACATTTATTGCAATCTACGTGAGAAGTTGTCACATTTAAGAACCTCTTAAATTCCCTTATCTCTATTTTCTCAAATCCTCAACAACTAGCATTTAATTGTCTCTCCCTTAGGTGGCCCTAGAATATCCACCAAGCAGGTCGCCGGCCCCATGGACCTGATCAGGCTTGCATGTGAGGATAATAAATGGGGCAATGGGGCAATGGGGCTCAGAGAGAGAGAGTGGTCCTTGGCTGCCTGGCTAGCTAGGCTGACAACAAAGCTGCCACCAAAGTTTAGAGCGCTGACTTGGGTGATGTGGCCTCCGTAAATGTCTTTTGTGTGGGATCACGTGCACGTGTCCGACGTTTGTCTTTCTCTGCATGGATTGGGGACTCATTTTTGCTGGCTTCGTCGGCCTATTATTCCGTTTTTGGTCTGTGGGTACATGGGTGTGAACTGTGAAATGGGCTAGTCTTTGTTTTTTCCTCTCTTGGTTAGTCCTTTTTATATCATTCCAGCTCAAATGAACACTATATATTTTGAACACAAATCTTATATAACTAAAGAACTATATCGAAGAGTTTTATCAGTTAACCAAATTAACCTGCTTTTGTATATTGATCCAAATATTCCAATAGAAAGAGTAATCTATATCATGAGGCTGAATTATAGCAATGGAGCAATAACGGGTATCTATCACCTAAGAGGATAAAGAGTAACACCAAGGACAACGCAATTAATATGTAGACATGATTAAACACTCTCTCCGAGTACTAGGAGAATAAGAAGGAAAAAGTTTCAATGAAAGCAAACAAATTAATAAATAAATATACTGTTCCCATTGTAGAGGGGTTGTACCTTTTATACATGTATGTGTTTTTCCCAAGAAAGATGTAGTTAGCCTTTTTGGAAAATTACAAAGTATTGGTGGTCACAACATTAACGACGTCGAACACAAAAAATACTTCTAGTTTTATTATTTATGGAAAAATATATTTAATATAGGCGGGAATATTATTTCGCATGGCATTCTTCGTAATTTCTTAATTAGAAAAATTCGATTAAATGGAAAGCGGCACTTAATTTTTGTCCAATTGTTTAAGAAGGCCTGGTTTGAATCCACGACTTGCTTTCCTATTCGCTGAAAATGGCTAGCTAGGCCCAATAAGAAACTGAAACCGAGACCTAGATATCCGAGCCAAGCCCCGCCTATCCTTATTCATTGCTCCCGGTCCCGTCCCAGTTAGAAATTAAATCTCGGCCCATCACCTCCAAAATCATTTTGCTACTGGTCTTCCCGGAAAAAACGTGTTAGAAAAAGATTACAAAATTCATTTTCTTATTCAGTAGAACTGGATTTATGTCATTTATGATGCAATCCTTACCTTTCTGGGTGAAATCTAGAAAGGCTGACTCCCAATCCAAATCTAACACCAGAAATATCAATCTCATCATATTAATTAATGATCCAAACTCGGGGAACGGAACTCCACCTCCAATCGGAATTCCAAACTATTCTCTTAGCCGTTGTTATTGTTTTGCCCGAAAATTTCTTCTTTGTTCTCCAAACTCAAAATGAACATGGCATGGAACGTGTTCAAATTCTGTACGGCACTACGTGCCCTGGGTTCAATTATGATTGTTTTCGTTCTTGGGATCATTGGGGTCACTTACTATGCTGTGGTCATTGCTCATTATGGCCCAAGTCTCTTTCTTGGAGGCTTTGATTCGCTTTCCGCTGTTGTGGTCATCTTCTTGTTTCATTTTCTGGTATACCCTTTTCTTCTTTTGCTCTCTTTTGTCTCTTTTTGATGGCTTATATGTGTCGGTAGTGGTCCTATGCGGGCCAAAGATTTTAGCTTAGCTGTTTCTTTCTTTATATGGGGATGAAGTGTCGTGTTTTCCATGATAAAAGAGAGTGAATATAAGTGGTTTTATGATTTATGAGGTTCAATGCTTCAATGCAGTTGAATTTTGCTTTGTGGGTTTTGCTGGACTTAAAAGCGCAAAGGATTTTAGTTGTAGCTTTAGTTTTGATTGGTGATGAAATGCAGGTTTCTTTTGTGATGATAATTGAGACATGAGAACTTAATCCTTGTGAATTTTTGTTGTTTCTGTTTGCGATGAAGATGTAAGAGTGTATTAAGTGACTTTATGAGGTTTAGGTTTTCCTGAACTTAAAAGGGAAAAAGAGATGAAACTTGGAATTAGTTGTCGTAGGAAGGCAGTATTGATGGTTGCTTTTCCTTGTTTGCATTCGTAAGTAGTTTTGTTAGATGGCATTGCTGCATTTTGAATTTTATTTACCTGGTTGTTTAGCTGGTGATGGTAATTTGGAGTTACTTTGCTGTTGTTCTAACGGATCCTGGGGGTGTTCCACCAAATTGGAAGCCTCCGAGGGATGAGGAGAAAGGTGAAGTTGATCCTTTGGTGAGTTTTAGTTATGGAAGTCCAGAATTAGGTTCAAATCAGTCAGCTGTGCCTGGTGATTCTCCAAACCAAGACATACGTTTCTGCCGGAAGTGCAACCAATTTAAACCACCTCGCACCCATCACTGCTCTGTTTGTGAGTTTTCTAGATGAATTCTTCTGTGGTAACTTTGTTGTGATGCCATCTTTAGTGAAAGAACCCTGGTTTATTAATTGATTTCAGGTAAGAGGTGTATATTAAAAATGGACCATCACTGTGTTTGGGTCGTCAACTGTGTTGGGGCATTGAACTACAAGTATTTCCTTCTTTTCTTGGTATGTGAACCTTACTGTATCCATTACAAGTCTCATGCAGCTGTCATATACTTGATGCTTAATTAGGCTGATGCATTCACTTTTAAGGCCATGGAAGCGGACGGTTTAATACATTTTTCATTATTACCTGGACTGTTGATTAGTCAAAAAATTGTAATGTAGTTATTGTCCAATTCTAATGCCTAAAATTTCCTTGCTTTAGTACTAGAGCTGAAAACCATCTTGACCTGGTGCAGTCAATCAACATGTAATCTAGGAAGTTATGGTGACTGTCAATATGTTGAACAAGCCACAACAGGATACGGGAAGGGGGGAAAAAGAAAGTAAAATAGGGTGGTTGAACTTATGATGCACCAAGTAGGGTCTTCTCTTCATGTTGTTAGATGCATAATAGATTATTCTTCTAGCGGCCTACTAACTTACAAACCAAAAAACTAGAAACCAAAATTTGATTGTTCTCTACTGTACCTTTGCCCAATGATTGGATCTTTGTGTCTCATGATCCCCTAATTTGTTGCTCATAACATCAATATTGTTTATTTCAAAAAGAAGATGATATCACTATACTTCTTTAATCAGTTTTACCAGGCCAGAGTAGGAAAGTTGCCATCAGAGTGAATGCTCATATCTGACTGTTGTGTTCAGACATTGTCCATAGTTCATCAATTTACATGTGAACCTCAGAATGATGAAGTTGTCTTCTTTGGTGGCCGTTGGAATCCATATGATCCTTATATTGAGCAATTGAATCCTTGCATTGTCCCCTATACTCATAATTTATAAATGCTATGGTTGGAGAGTGTAATGAGAAAGAGTGGTAGATATATTTATAGAACTTAGATAATTTTGGGATTTGTATATTTTTGGTGGGATAGCATGTGCACTTGAGCTTGTATTGACCAGTCATCATAGTGAATGATATGCTCCATTTCTAGCTCTTACAATTTTGCACTTTCTCATTCTCAAAAAAAAAAAATAAAAAAATAAAATAAAATTTGCATTTTCAAACACTTCTTTTCCTGCTATTGCTGATTTTCTGTTGGTTGTTTCTCTTGGCTTATTTGTTCTTATGTTAATGATTATCCTATTAAATAGATTCTTATGCAAGTATATATCACTGTTAGAGACATGACTAACTGGCATCTATAGAAAGGAAAAAGATATGAGTTGTATTTTGTTTTTCTTAATTTTGATGCAGTTTTACACATTTCTGGGGGCAACACTTGGCAGTTTGTCATTATTGCGGGTTTTTATTGAATTTTTTAATGATGGTGAGATAGCTGAAACACCAGGAACACTTGCAGCTACTTTTATCACTTTTGGTAAGTTTCTATTTGTTTTAGTTTTTTTCATCTAATTTGTTGTCTTTATTTTAACCTATTCGCATTCAAATCTTTCAGTTTTAAACATTGCATTTGCACTGAGTATTTTGGGCTTTCTGATTATGCACATAACACTGGTGGGAGCCAATACCACCACTATTGAGGTAACTTTTTTCACACTTACGTTTCCTTCTGTTGCCCATATAGTTAGTAAAGGTCACATTTTTGCTTTGCTCAATTTTATTTTCAGGCATATGAGAAGAAAATGACTCCTAAGTGGCGTTATGACCTTGGTTGGAAGAAAAACTTTGAACAGGTTGCCTCTTTTTTCTTTCTTCCGAACCCCAACCCCCCCCTTTGGCTCTAATACTTATCCAGTGTGTTTCTGTGTTTCCAACAGTATCAGGGTGTCTTTGAGGCACTTGTCTATTTTATAAACATTAAGCATTGATTACATTTTACTGCCATAATACATTTTTTGCTCTGGGAATGATGTTGCACATTTCCATGCTGCAAAATGCATATCTTGTCATTGCTGTCATTGAGTCTAGTTAAAAGACCCTGCTGGGAGCAAATTCAACAACTAATATAATGTAAACCCTTAAATTTTCTATAATAGTACGTCTTTGAAAACTTCCCCTCAAGTGACTTCAATATCGTAATGTGTGACATTAATTTATGCATCCCCGCGCATTTAGATTTCAGTATTAATCATGATATCACCTTTTTGCTTTTCTGAATATTCAGGTGTTTGGAACAGAGAAGAAGTTCTGGTTCATCCCAGCATATTCAGAGGAGGATTTAAGACGGATGCCATCCCTTCAGGGTTTGGAATATCCAACAAGGCCTGACTGGCAGCCACCCCTGCAGCATTAACTAAAGGTTTAACAAAACAAGCTTGAAACCACTCATGAAAACTGCGGTTGCATCTTATGTATATGTTGTATCTTTGTCAGTTGATGACATTGTCTCTAAAAATTGCTTGAGACCTGCCCTTCCTGATGTAAGCCCAACATTGTCATTGCATTTCCCTCTTGCCATGTAATCTTTCAATTTGAGCTTGTATTCTTGATTCTAATGATTGAAAATTAAAAAAAATTATTTTTTTACCCAACAGGACGACCTGGTTGCCTGTAATTCGAGATTATATGGTCAGTGAGTTTGATTGCTTCGTATTCTTCTAATGTTGAACATATTAAATTACTTGGAAATATTCTTGTCAAATGAACTTGAAAAAACCAAAAAATGGTGAAAATTAATAGTGATAATAATTAACAAGTAAAGTTAACAGCGAAATATCAGTGATTTGTTAACTATATTTTTGACGTAAGGAAATATCAGTAATTTATAATTCTCTTCATTGCCTCATAAACCATAGTACAATTTGATTCTACATAAACTATAGTAAAAAACTTCAAAGTGAATGCTACAACTTAAAAACATTTTGGCTGAGTTAAGTAGAATTATTTAACGAAATAAAAAAGTTAACTAGTAGTATGCGGAATTAAAAATAAGATTATACTGTACTTAAATTTCTAGGAAGTTTTACACGTGCGGGTTGAGGCGTTAGTGTTGTGGACAACTCCCGCACGTACTAGAACCTTCCATTCTCTTTATATGCAAATTAGTGGTTTCTCATCTCTTAGCTTTTTTCTCTTTTTAACGCGAAATTCCAGTAAAACCCGATACGCCTGAAAAGACCCCCAAAGCCCATTGCGATCAATTATCCGAGCAAGTAGGGTTTCGATCTTCCCCAATTTGTCTCAATTCCCTCTCTTTTTTCAAGGTACTGTTCTCGGCTCTCCATTTTTAGGGTGTAATTTCCATTGAATATAAGCGTACATGTTACGATGATCACGTTCTATCCGATCACTGATTAGTTTATTTTCGTAATTGTTTCTTACAAAATTCTTCCTCTTTTTAAATAAAATAGAATTTTCCTTTATTTATTTTTTAAGAATTTATTGTCTTTGATTGTTGTTTTAAGTGAAATGTTTTTCCTAATTTTTGGTTTTAGGATTTTGATCGATCTTTGCTTCTGAAGTGTGATACGATCCCTTTTTTATATACTTTTCTATTTAAATGAAATGTAAAAATTATTGACTTGGAGTGTAATGACTTGTGTTGCTTTCTTTGTTATACAATCGCTCGACAAAATTATGTCAACATTTAGATTTATTTATATATATAAGTAATTGAAAAATGTTTTTTTTTTTTTTGGTTTTCTGGTGTGCTGAAAATTGATAATTTAGGGAATTTTCTTTTCAGGGTTTAGAGGGTATCAGAAAATGCAGGGAGGCAGAGGTGGAAGGGATCCTTTTTTTTATTTTGGTGACCAATTTGGTGGTTTTGGGGGCTTTGGAGGCTTTGGTGGTCCTAGAAGTTTACTCTCCAATGTCTTTGGAGGAAGGGACCCTTTTGATGACCCTTTCTTCACACGACCCTTTGGAGGCATGTTTGAATCAAGCTTCTTTGGCCCCGGCCAAAGTCCTTTCCCTGCTATGCATCCAAATGGGTTTATTGAGCATCAGCCTCCGGAGCCTAAGAGATCAAGAGGTCCAACTATCCAAGAACTAAATTCTGATGATGAAAAAGAAGAAGCAGATAAAGAGAAGAAAGAAAATCCAAGAAAGCATGGTAGGTCGAATGATGAACCTTATGTGGAGGTTCCAGATGATGAAGCTGGACAGTCTGAGAGAAGGAGCAGGCATTTGCAATATATGAATGGTTACAATAGTTTGTATGATATACAACAGCAACAGCCTCAAACTCATAGCTTTGCGTTTCAGAGCTCCACTGTCACTTATGGTGGTGCTAATGGAGCTTACTATACTTCATCCAAAACAAGGAGGACTGGAAGTGATGGGGTAAGTAGTTCCGACGTTAAAGATGTGTTCATTAATAAGCCCAGGTTTGTTCTGCCTCTTACATCCCTCAGTTGTGGAATAGGTCACATTTGAAGAAAGCAAAGAAGCTGATACAACCACAAGACAAGCAACCCACAGGGTTTCTAGGGGACTTCATGCCAAGGTAGGTTTAAAATCTTGCTTCTCTTGTTCAACATAAATTTTGACTTTTGTTTAGAGGGTGAGTGTAGGGTGTATTTATGAGTAGAACTTTTGTTGTAGGGTCATTCAGTCACAAGAAATCTGAAATCAGATGGTAGGGTGGATACAATGCAAACCTTGCACAATCTGAATGAAGGTATACACATGTTACATACAACAGTGCATTTTGTGCTACAATATACTTGTTGGTATAGGTAGATTAACAGGTCCATGGCAATTAAAGTGAATGTTTCAAGTTGGTGAATTTTCCAGATGAGCTTGCTGGTTTTGAAGAAGCTTGGAATGGAAATGCTAGAAAGCATTTGCCTGGCTTGTCTGGGAATTTTATTGGCCATGATAGTATGGGTAAGATTTTCTTACTATTTACCTTAGATTTGTGTCTTTCTTTGCATGGTACATTTTGCATCACTTGTTATAGGGAAGAGCAAATCTGTGCTTCCTCTATATATCTGTGCAATTGGTCCAAGCCACACTTGTTGTTAACAGTATGCTTTTGGTACAAGCTTTTACATAAAACCAGTTCAACTCTTTCAGAATATATGTCAATAGTGGATGGGTAACTCCTTCCCGATGCTTTTTGACACCTTATAACATCAAATCATATTTGTTGCTGCAATTTTTTGTCTCAGGGGCTGGTCGCGGTGGACAGAATGGGCAGGCAGGTCAGGGAGGATGGGCACTTCCTTCCAATGAGTGTCCTCAGCAGTCAGGGAGAGTGATGCTGGATGCCAGAGACAGGGCAGGGCCCTCAAGCAGCCAGCAGTCTATGAGGATGAGAGGTTCGACAGTTTTGAAAGATAAGAGTTCTTACGCACAAGGGAAGCGAAGGGGCTAAGTTGGAAGGCACCGAGTAGATCTTGCAGTGAAGAGGGCATTGCCTTTTCTCACACAGCATTCTATGCTTGATCATAGCCATCTTTTATAGTTTAGAGCACTTTGTTTTTCCCTTTAGTATTCAGCTCTACAGTTGCATATTTTATGAGGTCTGTTGTAGCGGGGTTTTTTGCTTTTGAGGTGCTTAATGCAGAGAGGTTTATATAGTTGCTGCAAATGATGCCCTTCTAAGTTTCAAGTATTGACACATTATGATATCGTGTTTTCAGTATATAAAGTTTGCAATTTGAGATGATTGCGGATTTCATGGTTTCTTTCTTATGCTTTTGTTCACATAGTGATGAATTTTTTAATGGTGGATCATGTTTTCTTGATCCTTGTTTTATCTACATGGAGGACAGACCACCAAGTATTGAACAAAGACATGTCATATTGTTATTTATATGTTGATGATTGGAATGAGAAACTGAAAACAGGGTTGTTAATTTGGGGTCTGTCTTTATTCAGTATTTTTCATATGTTGTGGTTAAAGTCCGTTCTCCCGTTAATACAATGGGATTTTGTTTGTTTTATTACAGTATTGAACTAGTGAGTCTTGCTCAATGATTCGACTATTGGCTAAAGTGAAAATGTTCCAGGCAGCCTTGGCCAACCGTAGTCCGATCAAAAGGCGATGTGCCACATGGCAGGCCGCAGGAAACACAGAAATAAGGAGGAGCCCACGCCACGGTTTTCACTGGATGCTCCAAAATCCCAGTCGCAATTTCCCAAACTAAAAGAATAGCAGAAGTCCTCTGAACCACCAAAAGCTAAAGTTCGAAAGCTGAAAACAACAGCTCTAATCTAGTTGTAAAACTTTTAAAATTTAGGGTTACAAAATTCTAACAGAATCTAATATGGCGGTTATTAGGACAAGCGCTAACATGATCCTCAAAGAAATCCTCCATCATTCACCGCTATCTTCCATTTCCTTATCATCTTCGGCTCGTGCGGTTCTGGCCGGTTCCTGTGGGACCATCCGAGTGACCCCCAGCCGAGGAATCAGTTTTAGCCGGATTCGCTGCGCCGCGTCCGACGCCGGTGCCGAGAGAAAAGTCTCTGCTCGCCTCTCGCAAGTGCAACAGCTCCTGCAGGAAGCGGAAGAGCGAGCCAGCTCCGCCGGGAATGAGCCCACCCCTCAAATCACTCTGGGTAATTATGCTTTCTGTTTTCACTCCTTTTTTCTGGTTATTGCAAATTCCAAGGGGAAGTAAAGGAAATATTTTTTTTTTGTTTGGTAGCTTTTTCTCTCTCATTTGGGCTTTTGTTTCTTTTTTAGCTGCAGATATAAATCAATGGAAACCTGTATAGAAACTTAAAAAGTAAATGAAAATTAAGCGTGAAACTATTGCAACAATGCTGTTATCTTTTTCTTTTCTTTTTTTTTTTTTTCTGAACTGAATACACGGTTTAACAAGGCAATTTTAGGGATGCATTATGCGGAAGTTATATGCTTCTTCGTCTCCTTTACACTTATAAACTCTTCGCAGATCATGTTACTGTGAGTTTTGCAAGAAGTGGTGGCCCTGGAGGTCAAAATGTAAACAAAGGTACTTGTATCCTCTTCATGTTTCACAATCCATTTCATTGTAGACGCTAAACCCTGGCTATTTAAACCTGTAGATAATTTTGTTGCTGAATGTACAGTTAACACCAAGGTGGACATGCGCTTCAATGTAAAAAACGCATATTGGCTGAGTGACAGGATCAGAGAGAGGATTATGCAACTGGTTTGTCGCTGCCATCTAATATTTGCTTGTCTTTAAATAAGTTATGATATTAGAAAATATTTGTCATCAAAATAAGAATGATATGTCTTTATAGGGATCTGACAGATTGATTGTACATTTTTAGTTCATTGTTAGAATTACATTCCAATGCCATGATTCTTTACTGACTTCTTTCGCACATATTAAGAATTGAAAAATAAAGCTCTAATAAAATGTGTCATGGTCGAACGTGGAGAATGTTTCAAATAATGTTTTGCCAAGACTGGCAGAACCATGAAACTGTTATGTTCTCTGCCTTTCTTCCCCTCCTTCTACCCCTCCCAATAGATTCTTCTATTGGTGCGCTTGTCTTTTGAGTGCAGTTATACTAGTCTCGGCAAGCAATGTAACTTGTGGTTTGTATTAATTTAAAGTTGTTTTGTCAAGATCACAGCAAAACCAACATAAGAATAAAAAGTTGAAATCCATAGCTAATTCAGGATTATATAAGGGAACTTAAATGGTATTTTTGGTTATTTCACACTGCAAACTTGTGAAAGTACCAATGAAGAAGAGTGATAAGATATGAGTGGAGGCCATAAAAGTGAAGAAAGAAGACCATGTTGCATGGGCTGAAATGGGAAAAAAGGAAACTTGAGTCTCTAGGCATCTCCTCTGAACTTGAATTTATATTTTGTTGATGTTTGAAATAATGAAAATGAGCTAAAAATTAGCACCAACATGGACAGAAATGCTTTAGTTTAAGTAGTCATAATGCTCTGCTGATATGAGATATATGACTCTGATCCTATTACTATGAATTATAGTCTTCCACTGGGGAGTTTAAACCATAGTTACATTAAATCCACATGTAGTACTGCCCCAGAATCGTATTAGCTTACAGTTTAGATCTCCCTAGATCTGGTTATGTCTAGGAATTCTCATTTTTCTATGACCTCAACTATTCTATTTATGAACAGGAAAAAAATCGGATAAACAAGGATGGTGAAATTGTGATTTCTTCAACAAAGACTAGGACACAGAAGTTTGTTTCTCTCCTCCGTTTCTTTTTGTTGATCAGTTTTCTCCTAATGTGTTTCCAATGTAATTCGTTTGAGCTGTGTTTTGTTCAGGGGTAACATTGATGATGCTCTGGCAAAACTACAGGTGCTGAAATACTCTCTCTCTCTCTCTCTCTAGCAATTATGTTTTGCTGCTATAGTGTGCCTAGCAGTTGGTTGTTACCCATCAAAGATGCTATTACAAACATATCTGGTTTGCTATGGTATAATATGTTTGCAATTGCTGGATTATGCTGTTTGTTTGATCTTTTGATTTCTGGATATGGTGATGACCTAATCGTCTTTTTGTCCTTTTTTCTTGACCAAACAGGCAATCATTGATGCTGCTGCTTATGTGCCACCACCCCCATCAGAAGAGCAAAAGAAGAAAATTGCAAAGATGTAAGAGTTCACCAACATTTACAAGTGGACACTGCCAGCTGCTTTACCTGTTTTGTTTCTGTGTTGTTTTGGAGGCAATATTTAAATTTTGTTTCAATGATATTCCTCGCTATTGTCTCTGGATTGCAATTAATATGTGTTTCCATGCTTTTACAGGGCTGCAATTGGGGAGCAAAAACGCCTTAAAAGCAAGAAAGCCCTTTCAGACAAGAAAGAATTTAGGAGAAGTCGGGACAGTTGGGACTAAATTATGGTGTCATAACACATTAGGTTTATAGCGTCTGAGGATCATCAAATCAGTAAGGCAGTAGACAGCTGGTAGGGAGCTTAAAGGAGTGTTTTGTCCATATTTCTTGTCAAAGTTTTTTATGGCTGGGAAGAAAAACTACTCTCTCCTGATGTAAAATAACCATTTGATCCATTATATTTATAGGCTGCTAAGGCACATCATTCACCAGAATCTTGTTACGTGTTTCATGTTTGTCACACCTAATCGTACGCGGAGGATTTATTGTTGCGGTCTGTAGGGTTTTCGCGAGTAATTTTGTTCAAGCGGCTCTGAAATTGCAATTACTTAAAAGGTCTGAACCTGCATGCTTATTTTTTTCTTGGATGATCCGCCGCAGGCTGGTTCATGGATGAAACAGGGTTCAGATTCTTGAATTCTCACAAGGGAGTAACTTCTAACGAGCATATATCACTTTCAAAACCCACCAAAAGAAGAAAAAAAAAAAAGAAAACAAGCAAATGAAGAAGAACGGTCCTATGGTGCTCGCTGCCCCTGATTCATAACTATTGCTCTGTACATACACAGGCAAGAAATAATTATGGGATAAGAAAATAGAAAATATGGTGTAAAATACCCTTGAAAAGTATTAATTGATTCAACGAGGTGATTGGAATGTTCTTCTAAACAATTTTTCAGGTTCAAAATTTCTGTACAAGTACAAGTCAAGAGTCAAGAACAAAGAAGTTGAAAAGAAACGTACATACAATTGTATTCTCCTTTTCTACAGAAGTAATAGGAAATGACTCTACTTTCGTATGACATGTACTTCCCCTGATTGTCGATCAACGTGCTTGATCCAGCGGCTTTCTCCCTTGCCTGAACCTGAATTTCCTCCACTGGCTGCTACATGGGCAATATCCAAGCCTTTCCCTACCGGAAGAAACACAGAACGCACGAGCCGGCGTGATCTGTCATCGATAACACTTCTCCATCTGAAACTTGAAGCACTTCTGGAATTAGCATTCTTGCATACCAGAACTGCCCCCCTGTTACTCAGTTTTGCCAGCCTTAAGACCCTGAAAAAGTCCTTTCGCTGGCTATCCACCACCATGAAATCTATGCCATTTAATCCATTCATTACCTCCTCAGGTTCTCCAACAATGACTTCAGGCGACATTCCGGCTTCTTCCAGGGCCTGGACGTATCTAGTCTTGATCTTTCATCAGGGACTATACAGACGTGTCTTCCATTCGTATGGCTGCCAGCAACCGCCAGGCCGATGCTTGATGCGGTAGCTCCGCCCTGTGACCACGTCTCCACAATGAATCTCGCGTTCCAGCCTGCAGCCATGGCTGAAACAAGCTCTGCTACACCAGATTCATGATAAAGTTCACACTGCAGACAAAACAAGAAGTACGCGAACCGATTAATCAAATGAAAAATAAAAAATGAAGGAATTAGGCATCAGGGTTCAGAAAGGTTGCTCAGCGCTTACAGATTTAACAGTATCAATATAAGCCTTGGATGCTGTCTCTGGAGACCAAACTAGCTTCATTTCTTCCTTCAGTTTTCTTTCGTTTCTCTCTGTCTCTCGGTCTGGGCGTTTTCAAGTTGTGCTTTTCTTGGTTTACAAGCTGAGAAGAGCAGTTGGTGTTGGGTTTTTATTCGAGACAAAAAGATATCCTGGAAGCTGATTTGTGTTGGACCGTTGACTAGGTAACCAGACAGACAAATCCTACGTGTGGCGGATTAGGATTACCATGGATTACTATTAATCTAATGTTTCCAGGACTGGTGTGAAACAATCAGGTTTTTCGGAATCTCTCAAATGTCAGTTTCTTTAATAAATTCCTTGCAAATACCCAAGTGGTCCACGGAAATTTCCAAGGATAATTCCTAATTATTACACTCCTATTACCGGTAATGAAGATAATTACTTGAACGAGAAGCATTTACTCGCGGCTGCACTTATTTGGGGAATTATTCAAAGTTTAAGCTAATGCTAACCTGGATTATTGTTGGATCAATTCGTTACTTTCCTCTTGTAAAATTTTCCTATAATTAAAGTTTTGGGATTATGTTTCCACTCTATTTTTTATTCTTTCGATTAAATCAATTCATTTTTTAAATCATATATACAAATTCAATTCATATTAATTCTAGTTGAATGTAATAAAAATTTTCTTTTACTTTTGATTTATTAATGTACATCTCCTTGTGCTTATAGCTTCACAATTATAAATTTTAATGATCATGCACATGAAATTCATATGAACATCATGTTATATATACTCATTCATCAAGGATATAATTAGGATGAGTGGTCAAATTTTATATATTGGCATACCGTCGATTAAATTATTTGATGATGCAACCATCATTATCCCAATTTTTGGTGAAGGGTTATGACATGTTATTTCTATTAAACTAAGTTTTGTTTTTAATTAATTTATCGAGGTTGTGCTAGGTTTCTTGCTGTCACTCATTGCGTAGTTACTGTAGCATCTAGCCAGCGTTGTGTAACTTGTGTCCTCGTTTCCCCATAATAGGAAAAGGCAATAAGGCGTCCGTCGCATCTTTTGCTTCCATATGTGAAGATAATGGCTGCCGCATTTTCGTGGCAATGTGACTCAACGTTATAGTGTGAATATTAGATTTTGTTCCAAACGCGTCTGCCACGCAAAACAATCGAAAGAAACATGCATGCACCCAATTCTTTTCTTCCTTATGTAAATTAGGTTTCACAATATATATATATATAGAATAAATTCTACCGAAAGTTTATATATATATATATATATTTCTTTTTCAAATGATATTTTATAATTTTTTTCAGTTAACACCTTATTAATATCTTTTTTTATCAATTAACACTATGTAAATCACTTCCATTCTTGTAAAGAATTAAACTATTGATTTTACATAATAAAATCATCAAATATTATCAATTAATAAATAGTCTATTTGTTCACACTTATTAGTATTTTTGTAATTTTACTAGGTAAAATTAATACTTCAATTTTTCATGAGAATAGAATTTATTCATAGTGTGCAAATAAAGAATCACAAAATATAGTGGGTATTTAATACATATTTATATATATTAAACATGGTGTAAGAGAAAGCTCATAAATCATAATTAACTCTTGTATAAATACTAGTACCACTTGTTGGGTTGGGGGGACTAACTGGAGCTGAGTGTAGGGAAAAAATTTGTAGTTGTTATTGGTTTTATAAGAGAAGTTAGATATGAATTTAAGATGTTTTATGAATTTGTTAAGTTAAGTCAAGATAAAGAGCTCTACACTGGGGGGGGGTTGTTCTTCTTGAAGAGGATAATTTTAATTGGAAGATAATGAGAAGGATAAACTTCCCTAAAGTTGTATATACTAGAGTTCCATGATCATGGACTCATTTTCAGTATTCAAGGTAGATGTATATATGGTTAGCCATTATGGTGTTTTCATCTTTTTCCCCAACTCTTATCTTTTTTTAGTTGAGTGGATTTCAGTGCCACTAGCACGCATTCATGTGATTCTAAGATTTTCTACCTAATTATCAACTCTTCTGTACCCTTTTACAATTTTTCAACTTGTCATAATATTCATAAATTATAGAATTACTATTAATAGGTAAATCATTAATAAAATTCGAATTCAAAAAGTTCTTATTATTAATATGAAGTAATTTACTAATTAGATCAATCCTTATTAATAATGATATTTTAATATACTTTCACTTTATGACCCTAAACCCTTTTTCTAATAAGAAGAAGAAATAGAACTTACGAAAATTGCGCACTCGATGATTTAATATTCTAAGTGTCGAAGGTGAGAGGTTTAAATGTAAAATGAGTGTCAAACGGACTGCAATTTTGGTAAACAGAAAAATTAAATATTGAGGCAGGGGCAGGTGGGGCATGTTGTGAATGTGAGGCGTCCAAATGAAACATCCAGAAGGCAGAGGAAGAAGTCAAAACGCAGACGGGCTCCCGTATGTTTTGTCCGTGATATACAGAAAGACCGGCCGTACCAATTCCCTGCTTTGGCGCCTCTTCATTTTGACTCAGAACCACGCACATTAAACATTTTAATTTTGGCCGGGTTGGCTTGCCACGTCGGAAAATGTAGCTGATTCTACTGCCGACGTGGAAAATATGCTTGGTTACTCCATGATGATCCAAATATGAAGAACCAAAGACTTCACATTGTATTTGAATAGAAGAATGATCCGTTGAGTTTATTTCAAAGTTTAAATTGCTTATTATTACTAATTCTATTTTAATTTTTGTTTAATTAATTCTTCATTTTTAAAAAGTTATTATAAGTAAAAATAAAAGATAAAAATATAAAATTATAATTAACATGATCAATTTATAAAAAAAAAATTATGTATTTTATCATTTAAAAAAAATCAATACGTTTGTAAATTTGGATTTTCCTATTGATGTTACAGAAAGAGTTGTCTTGTCCGCTAAACTATTGGACGCTTCTTTATACATATAAAGCTCAAAAATTAAGATATATTATCATAATTATTTTTATTTGATTGTTTAATTTTTTGGTTTAACATAAATGGCTTTAAAAGATAAGACAAATAGAAATATTAATATGACCATTAGAACTGGGTCATTTTCATGGTTTTTTGTCAACTCACTATAATTTATAAACGGCTCACAGGAATGTTGTTGGTTAATGGTACGGAGTCGGCTTCCACCAGAATAACCCAAAAAATTAGGTGATGAATTTGATGAAGGCAAAGTCCCAAAGATAATAAATAACTTATTTCGATGGACATTGGTTGGATATAGCTTTGAACAACTTGCATGAGCAAGCTTTACCAAGTCAATAACTGAATATGGAGGTTAACATGTCTTTGCCTCCCTCTGTATAACATTAGCATAATTATTTCTTTTTCTCCTTCAAAAGGCAACTGTCTTTCTTGAAATCAAACTATTTGAAATAATCAAATATTTTTCCTGCTGAATTTCGCCTACGGTTTTAATCCAAACTATGAACTTTCGTGTGTATATTGAAAGTTAATATTAAAATTTTTCAAAATTTTTTACATCGTATTATCTTTTATATATGTATATATATGTGTGTACATACACACTAAATCACACAAATGATTATTATTATATGATATTTGAGTTGATTTGAGATGATCTGACAATGTTTATTTTATTTTATTTTAAATTTAAGTTTTGTTTTTATTTATATACTTAGGTTGAAATTTTATCTATTGCTAATTAATTTTAAATTCCATGCTTATCACAAATTTATTAACAAGAGTGGAAGATTAGGAATGAATAATAAAGTATTTTATCATTTCAATGGAAGGAGAATCCAAACTTTGTTTGATTAATAATTTGTAGACATATCAACATCCGAAAAGAATGCTAAGTTGAGAAGAGATCAGTCCAATATGTTAAGAACGAGTCTTAGTTTTCATTTAAGTTTTTAAAATTATTATTTACAAAAAATAATATTTTTAACAAAATTACTGAAACTGATTTATCTTAATTTAAATCATTTTAATTTTTTTAACACACATGACATGATATAATTTATAATATATATATAACATGTTTCGAATATCTCAAAAATTATTATTTTATATTGAAAATAAATTATATTTAAACTTTTATAATTTTTTTTTTAAAAAATACTTTATATGGTACTAAGAGTGTGCGGCATATGTTTGTTGCAAGAGAGAAACATAGAATTTGCAGTAGGTGGTTAAGATTACGAAATTTATCATTATTTTGCATTAAAGAGAGAAAGAACTTCTCCTTTTCTCATTTCTGCTTGAGATCATCACTGACAACAACAATTACTTTTTTCCAGCAATGATTTTTTTCTTGTCTCTTTCCCAATTTTCAATTTCTTCTGCTTTCTTTCTTTCTTTCTTTTCTTTGTTTTAGTGCCTATCAATTTTGATTTTGATTTTGATTTTGATTAAGAATCCAGGAGGTTAAGCAAAAGTCAAAATGCATAAAAAGGTTGTTTCGTCATCCGTATGAAAACAGAGACCGTACGAAAGTGGAGGCTGAAGCCACTGGCCTCCTCTCGTCCCGGCTTTTATCAGATTTTACGTCAACCATTACGCCGAGCAAAGTCCAAGATAATGCTACGTTCGAAAGTGGGACAATTTCGATATGTTAAAATATTCATGTTGGCCATTATCTTCCTTTTTCCAAAAAAATGATTGATGATCATTTGATTTGATGTTTAATTAGGTTCACTTGAATTTGGTTTCTTTTTTTTTTTTCCATATTAGATTTCGATAACATGAGATAAAAAACAAAATTAGATAATTGTAATGATATTTAAATTTGAGATTTTTAATTTAAAAGTTTAAAATTCAAATATATTAAAATCTTCCTAAATTAATATTCTTTAGACTATAATAATTAATTAATTAATATATTATTTAATTTATCAAATATTTTTTATTTCTTTTCAAAATATTTAAGTGTTGTATATTGTGATTATATGAATATTACTTAATTATTGAATTATAAATTATTTTTATTCATGACTAGTAAATTATTGAAAACATTATAATAAATGACAATAAAAATGAAGTTAAAGATAAAAGTTATATATTAGAGTCAATCTAGCTCAAATATGCACTTAAAGTAACAATAATATTGCATAATTTTTTCTTGCTATAAGAGAATATTATAGCAAAATTTCTTAAAGCATTAAAAAAAAGTTAGAAATGAAGTCTAAAGAGACATCAACTTTAAAAAAAAAAAAAACATTAGAGTTATATTTACAAAACTTCTTAATTAAATCATGTATATATATAAATAAAATTTTAATATATAAAAATATTATTACTTTACATATCAAGTAAGACTTATTTGTTTTCTGATCTTATAAATGTAATGAATTATTAATATATTATATTGATTTCAAGTCAAGATCGATCAAAAATATTATTTAATTAATATTATTAATTTATCAAGTATTATTTTTTAAACATTTTACTGTAATAACAAAGGGATAGTTTTGCCGTAGTTCAATAAATATTCATTTTTGAGTATTTTAATTTTTTCTAAATTATCGTATTTAATAATATTTTTAATATGATTAAAATTCATTGCATTAATGGTCTATTACTGTATTTAATACAAAAAAGCTTAATTAATTTTAATAAATACTCAATAAACTAAGCTTGGAGTCCAAATTTTTGGAATGAACAAGTGGTTTACCTAATTAAATGAAGTTGATTGGCACTGATAATTATTTATTGCAAGCAATAAAAGCTAGTGCGGGTGATTATTACTTGGTCATGTTCATGCAGATAATCACCACATAATTTTTTATTACTAAAAAACTGATCATATAAATACTTAAAGGTACGGAGTTGGATTCAATTCAAAGTCATAAATGAGAAATCAGAAATTGGGTAAAGTGGTGATCCAAAGTCCCCGACACTATGAAAACGAAATTAGGTAGAGCTTTTATTTCACTTAACTAAATATTTAAATTAAATAAAATATATATTTACTTTAGTTTATTAGGACAACAACTTGCAGGAATAATCTTTTCCCTAGCCATGATGAATTCTGTGACTTCGACCGCTTAAGCATCAGCATAATCCTTTTTTTTTGCGGCGGAGGCTAAGTCTCTGCAAATTTTCAAATCTCCTACTAATCAAATGCTAATTGTTGAAATTATTATTATTTTTCTGTTGATGGAATCTGTTGAAAATTAAAGAATTATCCAATAGCTGTTTTTTATCTCGAAACTGTGGACTTCCTAAAATTAGAATTAATTTCAGTATTAGGCTTGACATAATCACGTAATTTTAATTGTTTGTTATATCATCAACCCTAACCTCCTACTATTTGGTTTAAAATTAAATGCATATGCTTTTATATTTCTAAAAATTTGGTTCAAACCTCTTACCATACTCTCCATCTCTCTTACTTTTTTATAACTCCAGTCCACATCTTATAAAATAAAATGAATAAGTCTTGTTTGTCTCACATACGTTAAATTAGAAATATTATAAACATATAAATATAATAAGAGTCTCCTTATTTATTATCAATTAATTTTAAATTAAATATATATATTTTAAAAACCATTAAATATTTGTTTTAAAAATCTAATATATTATGTTAATAAAAATTATCATTTAAAAGAAGAAAATGATAAAAGAAGAGAAAGGACGGTTATTCCTTCAAGGGAATGAGCTTAAAATTTGGTTGTTTTGATATTGGATTATAGTAATAGAATTTTTGACATTATGTAACTTGGAAGAAAATGAAATTCGGAGGAAATTAAAATTAACCAATTTGGTTTGAACATGTAACTGAACATCGGTCTTATGTTCGAGGAATGTTTACATGTATTTTGCATTCTACGTGATAAAATCTTCTTTTTTTTATTAGACTTAGAAAATAATTTGTGTATGATTTGATCACTTATTATTATTTTTGGTTATACTTTATCTACTTCAATCACACCATTTTTGATGTAAAACAAATTTGAAAGGAAAAATGAAATAGAAAATGAATATTATTTTTATAATTATGGTTAATGAGATATATATATTTATATTTATATATATATTCGAGGTGAAAAAATAATATAGTTTCGAAGGATGAAAGTTAAAGCAATATTTCATGATTCATTTACTTTAGCTATGGAATACAAGAGAGAAACAAATGAGCAATATGAATGATGTTTCCAAAGGCAATGCTGCCTTATGCCAGTGAGTCTTGAGTTTTCGGTGGGCCAGACCAATGAACCAAAGCCATATTTTGTTTCGGGTTATGACCCAATCTAAAAATCAACTCAAAGCCCGCATTCATCCCCAAAATTCAAACATTTTCAATCTCATTCAAACAATTTTATCTGACATCTGTGTGTGTCTTCCTTCTAACAACGTGTCAGGGTCGCGAACCAAAAGCTGGACCGAAGCGCACGTGTCACCCGCCCAACTCGCCAACCATGCCAACCACCTAAAGCCCCCAATACCTGGTTCGTCTAACCTTAAACCCAACCAAAACGACCCAAATCTCCACCCTGGAAAACGACACTAAAATGCGCCGTTTCATACCTTCTCTCCTCATCCACCGTCGTTCCCTTCACCACATCCAAAAAGCCGGTCCTCTCTGCTCTCACTTAAAATCCCGGTCGGTAATCCGGTTCTCGGGACCCGAAACAATCAAATTCCTTCAGGGTCTTTTAACAAACGATGTTCGGAGATTCGGTGAACGCCCGCGTGAAGATAACTCCCCCGTTCCTACGAAAAACGTGGCCTCTGTCGTAGTTCCTCCTATGTATGCAGCTCTTTTGACCCCTCAAGGAAGGTTTTTGTATGATTTGTTCTTGTATAGGCCGCCTCGCCCCGACGAGAAGCTGGATAGGACTGGGTCGGGTCCGGGTCGTGCGTCTGGTGGGTCGGAGGAGATTCTGGCTGACGTCGATGGTTCGATCTTGGATGAGTTGTTGGCGACTTTTAAGAAGTGGGTACTTTTAGTTTACTTTTTTTCAGAGACTGGACCTTTTTAATCGTAACTGGGAATTTTATTGATTTTGGGAGAATAATATTCTGTTCTGTATAGCTGGTGCATTTGAATTACTGAGGATCTCTCATTCTTTGATAAAGATCAGGTTAAAATTTTCTGTTGTTTTTAGCTTTATTTAAAATGCTTTCTTTTGTGTTTGCAATTCTAGTAGCTACTTTGGGTGTCGCTTTGATAAGCCTCTGCTGGATAGACTGCATTTCAGTGTTGGCATTCAACAGCCATGTATAATGCCTTACTTGCGACTTTAGATATTCTGTTTGATAACATGCACGAATCACTGCTACATTTTTTTGGCTGAGAGGTCTAAAGCAGATAAGCTATCAGTCTGTATCCCTTTGTAGTTCCTCAGAGTATTCTTATTTGTTAAATTTACAATCAGTATGAATTCTGGTAGTGTTGCCTTTGTTTTAAAAATGATTTGTCGAATATGTAAGTCTGAAAATGTTCTTGCATCTCTATGGCATTCTACTATACCAGCTAGTTTAAGGCATTGACTATTATACCTGCTAGTGATATGCGTTTCTCTTTTATGGTAATGCAAACTTTAAAATTTCTGTTGACGGTTGCTCCTCTATTTGCTGTTGCAGATACCGGTTGAGGTCTAAGGTAGAAATTGAGAATGTGGAAGAAGACTTCTCTTGCTGGCAGAGGTATGGTCAGAACCTGTTTGGAAAGACACCAGCTGTTGTAGAACCAGAGGCTGCTTCTGTTGGTTGGGGAATTGGTGTTGATGGTTGTGGCACATCAGCTTCACATGGCAATGATGTTGGATGGCAATGGTTTAAGGATCCCAGATTAAGTTGTCTAGGTTTTAGGGGGATCTTTCCATCTGGTACAACACGTGAGTTAACCAAACGTTTGTTGCTTCTGAAGACTGTATTCTTATTTACATTTTTAACATAAATCATTGGCTTTGAGATAAGAATCGATTTAAGACGTACTGTTTCTATAGAAGTCAGCACTCCACTGGTCGCTTAAACTGCAAAATTTCATATTCTCTTGTCTATTGCAGCACCTTTAGTTGAGTCTGATAAAGAAACAGATGAAGAGAATTATCTTCTGTGGAGATTAGAGAAGGGAGTTGCAGAGGGCTCAACTGAAATTCCAAAAGGTGCTTGTTTGCTTTGTTGCTAATGGTATACTTAAGTATCTTGAAAATTTCTTGTATTTTCTAACTTTATTTTTAACATGGCTATTCTTCTTATAGTTTTTCTTCAATTTATTATGAGATGTTTCTCCTTTGTTTTCAGATTTGTCTGGTCTTTCTGTTGTGACTTTTTTGTTATGTTGCTTAGGAGAGGCAATTCCACTTGAATACAATTTCACAGGCCTAAATGCAATCAGCTTTGATAAAGGGTGCTATGTGGGGCAAGAACTTATAGCTCGTACACACCACAGGGGGGTTATTCGCAAGCGCTTGCTTCCTTTAAAGTTTCTTGACGAAAATGGAAAAGGTAGCCTCCCTGCACTGGGCTTTGATAAATTTAATTATCTTGCCACAACACAACCAACACCTTTCTGTTATTTCAGAGGTGGAGGGAAAAGTTGCCCCTGGTTCAGAGGTGATTAACACTGCCTCCAGTAAGAAGGCAGGGACAGTGATCACTGCATTCGGCTTTTGTGGAATGGGTGTCTTGCGGCTGGATGAAGCCTTCAAAGGTTTTGGCTCATTGACACTACAAGGAGAGGAGGATGTGAAGGTGGAGGCCATTAGACCAGATTGGTGGCCCACAGAATGGTTTCAAGAACATCAACAACATAGTGCCGTTGCATAGACTGCTTTGCATGCGTTGATAGTCCTCCGGATGTTGGCCTGGCTTGGCACCCCACACGGTTATAAGCAGTAGTACAACTTGTTTGAACTTTCTTCTGTAACTGCTAACTTGTTTACATTTTTTTGTTCTCACTAAAGAAAAAAAGTAATAAAAGGATGGTGTTCTCCAATGGAAACGTCATAAGGCTTAAATAGATGCCTCGAGGATTAAGTATGTCGAGAAGCTTGGCTGGTGTTGGTTCCAATCGTGGTACATTGATGCTCCATAATCAGTTCATCATAGTCCAGGAGAAAACTTGTTTTCTGGAGAGCGAATAGGTTTCTAAACTAGAAAGGAAAGAGCTGCCACACTATGGAATCAGTTGATTACTATTGTTTATCCGCTACTATATAATACCTGCTGTGAGGAAATAAATGTGAAATCATCGTATGTTGTTTCCGCGATGTCCATGACTTTCTTAAAAATCGTCTGCCTCTATAGATCATGGTTCAACACAGCTTCCCTACATTCATTTTGTTATAATGGGGATGTTTGTTACCAAGCTGTTTATTCGCAGTTGAGAATTTGTGAGAAAGAGAAAATATAGTTTCTTGAAGTCCTCCTTTGGCAGAACAAATAGTGAAATTCCAGCTCCTTAATGAAAGTTTGAGTGTCAAGAGAAAAACAACTTTACACTACCACCGAAACCAAGTTTAAAGCGACCAGAAATGGTATATTATACGCCTAGACGACGAGCGTAGCTTTGTTCTACTTACAAAGAAGCAATTTGTTTTGGGCAGGTTAATATGTAATTTTCCAAAATGCGAATTCAAGCTTCAAACGAGCTTTGCAGGCGCTACAATGTTGAACGATCATATCTCCAGACAACATAAAATCCTTTTCAAATGCATGTTGCTATGCCTATGGGAGCAGTTCAGCAGTT